AGACGGTGAAAGCCAGTCATAATTTGCGATTAGTCGCGACGGCGCTATTCCAAAGTTCAGTAATTCATAGATTTGATACGAGGCGTTGCCTCAGGTGTTGTTTTCGCCGGTAAAGTTGCTCTAAGCCGCACTGAGCTGTAGTTAGTGCAGGTTATTGCAGGTTACGAGAGTAGTTAATATTATCTCTCTTTGCGTAACCATAAAATTGGTGTCTAAGCATTTTACAAAGATAATTGTTTTCTTTATTGCGATGATAATTGAAATGTAGGTTTTCCCTCAAACGGGTCATCAAAGGTGCGATTATGTTTTAATCATTAGAAACACTAACACTTTGTCTATGTGCAAGTAAATATTAAGTAGTAAAATTAATTATGAAACAAACTTCTCAAATGTTGAATATGAACATTAAATCCAGTATATCTCATGCAACCCACCGTTCCGAATAAATAAGCGTATTCCACGAGTCAGAAGTTTGTTGAGTAGCATTAAAAGATTAAAAGTCGACAGTTCGCTCAAGCCGTATCGAATCGAAACTGAAACGACCCCGAGTCGACTGTAACATATATTTGCTATGCAGGCGGCGCGTCCGTGGCGAACTTCGCCTGGCGAATGCAAAAATTTAAATTAAAAGCATAAATCAGGCGTGTATCGAGTAAGTTTCGCGATTGCTGTGTATTTCAACTCCGCGCTTCGGAATTGTGTATTTGTACTTTTGCTTCTTGAATTTTATTACAGACTTCATCGGAAATCGCTGAAACAGTGATGGAAACTGTATTATTAGAAACGAACAGGTCTGTTTATAAATAGAATCTTCTTCGTCGTAGGCGAATTTACAAATTACAATATTATACGGGGTGGAAAAAATCAATGGGACATGAAGGGAAACTTCTTAAACTTTAACACGAATTATAATTAGATATCCTAAATAAATAAATAAATAAATAAATAATAAATAATTCTTAATGTTTATTATCGTCAAAAATAGGAAACTACCATTGAAAATATATTTTATTGCTCAGTTACCCCCTTCCAGATTTTGGACATATAATTATGATTCATACTATACCATTGATTAAGATGGGTAATTTACTTAAATGCAATATTGTTTTTATTTTTTATATGAATAACTGCATTCATAAATTTTTCGAAAAGCTTACCTGAGTCCCTAATCGAACCAACTAAAAATGAAAAAAATAAACGCTCACTACAACATTGTCAATATTAAAGATGAATATCTGATCTCTCCAATAATAAAGTATGTTTGTTGAAGAGAAATTTAAGTTTTATAGATAATATCATAATAATATGTTTCTTTAGAAAATATGTGTTAATGCAGTTATTCATATAAATAAAGGAATGTTTCCTGTAAGTAAAAGTAGCTATCTTAAATATTTATGGCAGTTTTGTAGCAGTAGAGCTCCTTGTGAAAGAGTTCGTCTAGGGAAGTACTGCCACCTTACCTATTACCTACCGATAAGCAGTAATGTGAGCGTTACATACACATGAGACTTGTCAACTTATGTCTCAAGCTGACGGGCGCAGTGGCAGTAAGGGTACTTTCAAAAGTACCTGTACGTTCAGAAGGGTCTGATCTTTGTGATCTAAAGCTCTGAGCGGCACTGCAACTGTTATGGACAGGCGTGTCGCTTACCACCAGGCACAAGACTTATTCGTCCCGTCACTTCGTATCACAAAAAAAGTACCCCTTCATATCTAATGAGATATGAAAGGGTACTTTTTTTGGGTACGTTTTATATTTCTGGCGTTTAGGATATATTTCATAATCATACTCCCGTAATCGAGTTGCTAGACCACGATACTGGTATAAAAATCAAAGGTTATTTCAATATAGCACGAACAAATTTAATTTTTTCAAATTACGTTTTGCAACCTGTAAGTACAACTAAAATAATAATAGGGTGATAACTACTTATACAAAGACCGAGCACTGAGAAAATTTCATTCGATCCTGCTGGATTCGAACCAGAGCCATCAGCATGCCATGTATGTCACTTTCCTAACTGAGCTAGGGAACAAAGCAATAGACCTTACGAATATTTCTATGTGCTTGTTGCAGATTTTTGTTTCTAGTTTTTACGAGTTTTCGCCAGTCGGACCGAAGGAATTTTTCTTAGTGTCCAAACTATCTATTAATAATTATAACAAACTAGGTAGTAGAGTCATTTCACAAATAATAATTGAATATCATTACAGTGAAACATCGTCTATTCAATAAACTTACTAATATAATATTAATAGGGTTGTCTGACTTTAAGTTGCGAGTGACGACACAGGCAACAACAACGTCAAACAGGCTAATTACATTTCATCAGTAATTAAATAGTAATTACAGAGGACATTCAGGAGGGCATGGAGGATTCACTGTTGTCAGTCCTCATTGATTTTTCTAACGCTTTCAATGCTGTTGACCGTGATATCCTTCTTGCTATCCTTGCATATCTGCGAATCTCCTCCGGAACTGGACTGGTTTTCTTCATATCTTCGAGGACGCAAGCAAGTGGTTCGTGCTAAAGACTCCTTGTCTAATTGGTCAGGCCTTGAGGCAGGTGTCCCCCAAGGTGGAATTCTTTCCCCTCTATTGTTCTCCGTTTTCATCAATTTAATTTGTCCTATCCTCCACAATTCTTACCATCTGTATGCAGATGATCTGCAAATATACGCGCAGGCCAAGATTAACTGCCTGGATGATGCGATACTAGCGCGTAATGAAGACCTGCGGCGTATCGCTGATTGGTCGAGTAAGTTTGGCATCAGTGTCAACCCAAGTAAGTGCCAAGGTATTGTCGTGGGTAGTTCTCATGCTTTGACTAGGTTGGACATGAGCTCTGTCGCGCCTCTTTCTTATAATGATACACCTATTGTTTTCGCACCTCATGTTGTGAATCTGGGACTGCACATTGATAGTACTTTAAGCTGGAAACCTCAGATTAATTGCATTAGTCAGAAGATCATTGGTAAGATCCTTAAGATCGTTCTACCAGTTCAATAACTTTCTACCCACCGCAACGAAAATCCTCTTAGTACAGGCCACTATTTTTCCTATCCTTAATTATGCTGATGTGTGTTATGCTGATACCACTCAGGAACTTCTCAACAAATTGGATCGCTTGGTCAATAGTTGCATTCGCTTTATTTATGGACTTCGAAAATTTGATCACGTGTAAATATTTAACACAAAAAAGGATGACTAAACTAATAGTACATAAATGTATATTTAGAATCTTACATAGAGCCCAGAGAACAATACCGAAATGACGACTGATAACTTTCAAGAGCAAGCGATTACGAGTAAATTTAACGACCCCTAATGAAGAGTATATAAACCTGCTTATTTGAAAACGATACTTCGCAGATAATTACAACTCAAGAACCCTGGCTAAGCGTCTTTGAATTAATTGCTTGCGTTATTATGAGTATCATAATTTCATAATCTTAATGAAGAGGACTTAAGAAAGTAAAAGGAGAAATTTTAATCTTGTAAATCTTTCTTTATGACGCAAATTCGGGAATCCATTTCGAAGTCCAATAAAAATAAGGAAAATCAACAACTTCTTAACCTGCCAATGTTAACGTAAATAAAATAAGTGCTCTATATAAATTAGTTAAGTAACAAATAAATTCATTTCTTAAATATTTTCAATTCAAATTGCCAAAGAAATAGACACATGAGTAGGTTTTAGCAACAAAAAAACCTAAATAATTTGGGAAAATTACTTTATAATGTACTAGACAGTTACCAAGAGTAAAAGAGGGTGCACTGAAAACAAAAGCGATTGAAATAAACAACATGCTGTTGAACGTGATAATGTAACTTGTTTCCACCTGAGCCCATCAAATACAATTATTGCAACAACAAGTACAATGATTGCAACAATAATTTTAAGTAATATATTTTATCATATTGTGATTGACTCACCAAGAGACCGCACAAGACTTGAATGGAGTCCGTTTTTATTTTCAGTATGAAAAGATTCGTACGACCCGTTTCCGAACGCACTAATTTAAGATCCGTAGTCGCCTACTCACACATACCACACACACGACAGACGGTAGATAGACGTGATAGCATGTTTATAGCTAGCTTCTTACAGTAATATAAGTATGTCAGCTTCGTAATAAATCTAATTATATAAATTAGGACTACCTACAAATTGATACTTATACTTTATGAGGTAAGCGTACGCAATAAACAATAACTTGCAACACTCCCCGATGATTTACGCTCGACCCTTGCGTGAGGTCAACAGCCGCAGCAAACGAGCATAACTTGTGCGAGTTGCCTTAGCACATAAGGTGAAAATGGCGATATTTTGCTAATAAATAATTAAACTTATACAACTTTTATATTACGAGGGCTTAATTCATTGCGACCACCATTGTGTTATATTTTACGATGATCTAAGAAAACATTATCATCGTCACGCGCTGTGACTATATATACTACGGAACATTGATAGAAATAATGATCAGTACAGAGTACTAAAAAACCTACCTCAAAAGTCATTCACCACCTAGTATGCCACCCTTAGTGGTGGAATATTTTCTTCAAATTTAAATGGGACCACTTCTGAGGTATCCTCTTTCCAATAGAAAAGAATCATCAAAATCGGTAACATACACACAAAAAAAACATGCAGTCGAATTGAGAACCTCCTCCTTTTTTTGAAGTCGGTTAAAAATGAGGCTCGCACGCAGTTTTCCTGGTACGTTGTTGAAACATTGTTGTTATCTAAATATTTATGCATTTAATAAGCTCACAAACATAGTCATCATTATTTTTATTTGACTTATGCAATAGTGTATTAAATATTATTCCTTACAACAATCAAAGTTAATGCTTGTTCAATTTGTTCTAATATGTAATTTATGCTTAGTAATTTTATAGGTATGGACTGTAAGCATTAAAATCGTACCTAGTATATATAAGTTTGCATTCATAATGCGACTCGCAGACTTAATTTGAGTCGGTTTGATTGCAGCCGTCGGCGGCGTCAGCTGGGAGGAATGGTGGACCTACGACGGGATCTCAGGTGAGCCAACCACTTCATTCGCTTTCCTTATATTATTATTTTCTATATATTATATTATATATTCCAACTCCAGTACAAGTTTTTAACTCTAATTAGAAGTTTGGTTAAGATTACCTAATTTGTAATTCTTACAATAAATCTAAAATAAAAAAAAGCAATGAAACTATTATCGATTCGAAGATGTTCGAGTTTTGCGAAATATGACAGTTGCATTGGTAACCTATTTAATGTATTATTTGATTTATCAATTAAAAGTTAAAAAGAGTTAACATGATTAAAATTAGTTGCGTTAATAATTAAATTCGCCTGTGTCCCAAAAATTCAAATGAGATTGATGTACAGCCTTTACAAAATACCACCGTTTTGTTTTTGACTGTTTCAATAGGCAATGATATTACAGCAGGTGACATAAACATTTTGTTTTAACTTTTTTTTAATATAAGGGTCATCAACTACTTCATTAAACACAAATGTATTCTATTATCGATTCAGTTGTAAATCCGATTGTGGAGCGTAGTACTGTCTTAGCTAGAGCTGCCAGGTCTTAAAACCGAATTGCCGGACAGATAGACGTTTAGCCAGACATTTGGGTAAAAAGGTCGAACACCCCACATTTTAAATGATTTTGTGTCGTAATTTAATACGATAATTTTTAGAAACGTAAGACCAAGCTTTTTTAATCATTTAATGGACTATAATTGGCTGTCCAAATATAAAAAGCATAACAAAAGCCGGACATGCCGGACACGCATCCAAAAAGCCTATGTCCAGCTTTATTCGAACGCCTGCCAACGCAATGAAACAAATAACTTTACTTCTATTATTTTAGGAAATCGAAAAAGATTTTTACTGGTACTAAAGTTGTTTGGTATTGTTGGGAATACAGGTTTGATCCTTAAAAACCCTGCATTCTCGTCCACAAAATACGACTATTAATATAATACGACAGTTTTTACACTACTTGCATTTCTCCAATCATTTATGCTGAATGTACTTAATTGCGTCGAAATGTCAAGCTATTCAACCAAACAATAACGTGGTAAAAAAGATAAAAGATACCTATTTAGCATAGATAATAATGAAATAGCAAACCTGTTAGATAACGTAGATCATACTGGGGTACAATGTGCTTACACTGTACAACGTAGCTAATTACTAATGTGACTGAATATTGCATCAGACGGTCGTTGTGGTGGCACACCACTCGCCAACTTCGGTCCGATATAGCGGATACATTTTTAACGAGAAACCACGATGCCTGTACGACTAAATAAGAATCACGTTAAATGTGCATTTATATGAAGGTAGAACTGACTTTAAATATAATCCTTTTAGAATATAAAGATGATAAAAATGCAACGAAAATCATGCTTTTTAAATTTTATTCACGTTTCGATTTCTACAAACAATAGCTATCTATGCATGTAGTGATGTATCAACTCGTAGAGGCGTCTCACTGTCAGAATCAAGATTCTTTTTTTTAATAAATTTTGTTTAAAGTAATATGAAAATTTGTGAAAAATGACAAGAGATTATAACAAACCCAAATTAGTTTAAAGGTGACAGTAAAAATATATGTTTAAGGGAATGATACGATAACACACCTCACAATTTGGCGAGTAATGCAATATGAATGCAAGATAAATCACCCGTATAAATTTCACATCACGTAAAAACCGGCATAAATGTTATCGGCCCCCGAAGCAGATAATATGCCACACGGTGAAGCGAATATTTAGAACTTGCGATAGGTCATTTCCCTGCTATTCTTTTGACTAAATCTTACTTATATGGTTTAATATATAATTTATATTTTTTTAGTTTATATTTCATTCATGTATACATACACTTCATGCTCTTTCCCTATCGGGACACGCAGAGGCTACAGGGCATAAGGGTACTCTTACTCGTACCAACTACATCTTATCGTGTCTCTCGATGGCTTGCCATCATGGTGAAAGGATTTGTCAATTGATGTAAGGTACTCGCCGCAGACATATATGTAAATAGACACAGCGATCTGTATGAAAACCAAGCTTGTCACATTTTTTGTACTAGGAGGTACACGTGACGTCAGAAGCGCTATTTAGTTAAGAGGAAAACCGTTCGGTACTATAGCGATAGATTAAATCGTAAACGCAGCACGTATTAGAAAAAGGATTTTTCAAGTATTTGTTGATTGTAAGAAGCTTTGAAATAATTGTTATAGTAAAATAATACCTGAATAAGATAATTAAGTTCTTTATTGATACATGTTTTGAAAAAAAAGTTGTTCCAAACAACTAAAAAAAAACAACTACAAACTTTATAGAATATTTTTTATAATTTTTTAAAGGTCTTAAGAATTATCATCCTTTTGTTTCCAAAATCGATGAGAATCGAAAACTGTATTGCATAAAGTGAACACACTAATCGTAAAATTTGACCAAAAACATGAAGAAGCGGCCGTACCACGAAACTGAAAGCATTATATGAAAGTATCGCTCGTTCTATATTCATGGCGTTCTAAAGAAGGACCCCAAGTATACCGCATCAAGTAAAACCCGCAATGTATACGAATCACGCGGCTAATACTTGTTTGATTACAAAATTACATAACTGTAAGGCAAGGTTCCTGTTTATTTATCTTCTCACAGCTGTGGTGTTTTTCTTAGCAGTTTCTAATGGCACAATTAGGCATTTTTCGCGTTTTCGCGACCGTGCGTGACCGCGAGTTATCGCGGCCCGGCCGTGAGGCCGGGCTGAAGCGTAGCAGCGGCAACTTAGCGTTTATAAGCGAAGTAGGTACACTTACGGCATCTATTTAGATATATATCTGTGGTGCTCGCCGATTGTGATCCAAGGTGCACACCAGATGTACAGGAAAGGAAGGGTACGTCGTAGTGAGAATCTTTTTGTGCATCCCAGTCTTACCAATAGCCTGCTCACACTCGCCTTATAAATCTGTTTCGGCAATATTCATTCTTTACTTCCCATTAAGTCTTAAAAAACAACTTGATGGATGAAACGAGATTATTGAAATATTTCAGTAAATAAATTTGAAATAATAATGTACGTATTATCTCGAATGAACTTGTTGCAGCAATTGGTTATAATACATCATTAATATTCCCAAGAAATCCATGACTTAACCACTTAAATTAAAAAAAAAATTCTATTGTACTTTTCCGGAGCTCGATTTGCATAAAACTTGTGTTTTTTACGAGAGACGTAAAAAAGCATTTATAAGCAAAATCCTCATTTCGGACCCCAAGAGTTAATTTTAATTTAAACCTTAAACCAGTCCTATATATTGTAAAACGAAAAAAATCCATCTATGTATTCAATTAGAAATACGTACTTATATAATTTTGAAATAGGCAAATGACAAGTAAAAGTGCGTCCTCCCTGGCGATTATGGTATCGTGGTTGCATAGGTTTTGAAGCGTGTGAGGTAGATGTGGAGAAATTCATTGCACAATGTTTGAACATTTAACTTAAAAAAATTTAATATACTATGTTATTGTAAAATAAGCTTATAGTCGCCGACGTGTTTATTATGAAAGATGGGAAAGAAAATTTCATTGAAAATAACAATCGAATGAAACTGATTTTTCCTTAAATGAAAACAAACAAACATTGTGTTTTTTTCTGTTTAGTCAATCATGTTTCGGCCCCCATAGTTCACTACCAGCACCTTCTGTTTTCGTTATCAAACAAAAAGTAGAATTCGTATTTTTTAATGTCAAATATCCGATTTCCCGTGTGATTGAAAAACGTCTGTTTTAGGTTCTCATTTCATTTTAAGTTGCTTTGCAAGTCCTCCTAGGTATTTATAAATGAATGTTTAATAAACTAATATTAGATTGTAACGATGTCCATATTATATGTAGTAGTGCCCATATTATACAAATAGTACCCCCACATTGTATATACCATAGTGTGCTTTTAAATTTTGTTTGAATTTCTCGTTCCTAAAACAGAATAAATAAATACCTTGAACGTGTACTCCCAAACAGCACACCCACATCTAAATATATACTATAGGATATCTAACAGAATTTAATTCGATTGAATATTTTAAGAGTTCAAATTCCGTCAAGACATCTCGAAGAAGGTTTCTAGATAATTTAAAGTAAAAGTGGGCACAACTTTATTAGTAGATCACAAGAGTGCTTTGAGAAACTATCTATATGTAGTGTTAAGAGTGATTCTTATCTATTTTCTCAAGTAACCCTTCTCGAATGCTACAAGACCATTTATAGGATGTAGACAGTTTTTATTTAGTCTTGTAGACAGTTTTTAGATAATTTATAGTCTTTGATAGTTTTCTTAGTAATACTATTTTAAAACCAAAATACTAAAACGTTACAAACATAAGACGCAATTCTCTTAATACTAATAGATTTCAAGTTTAATGGCTTACAAAATATAAACTGTCAAAATTGCGAAACAACATGACGAAATTAGATACAATATTCCTGACTTTTTCGCGCAATGTCTAATCGGTTAGAAAACGCGAATTGACGTGCGACTTTAAATACATTGTGAAAAGTGATGTAAAACCTGTCATAAAACTAAAAAATAACTCACAAATTTCCAAGAAGTTCTAGGCTTCTTCTAGCTAATTTCAACTTAGATTTACTTTTAAAAAAAAAAAATTTTCTCGGCTACTTATATTGTATTTCTGACTAAGAATGACTAATATATATATTAGTCAAAAAAAAACACTAGGGCAAAGAAACAATTGAAAAAAATCCAATTTGTCGCATAAAAATGTTTTTCTGTATAATTATATGGAATGTGTTATATATGACTAGAAAGGTGGATAAATTCCCTATCATATAAATATAAGGAATATTTTAATGACATACCTTACTTATGTTGGAAGAAATAACATTTTCATTACAAAATTGAGGTTATTTCTTCACGCCAACCACATTTGACACAATGATTTCACTGTATTCTATTGACAGACGGCACAATACACATACACAACATTGAAGTACAGTAGTTTACGC